TCTATTTTTTCATTTATTTTGTCATTTTGTTCTTATATTTTCTTCCAGAATTCTTTTAGGGTTTTGTCTGTGTTTTCCTTGGTCTGTCTCTCAATCCTTTCAAGATACCTAAATATAATTCTTTTGAATTCCTTATCAGGGAGTTCCAATGCTGTGTCTTCCTCAGGGATGTGTTTTGGGTCTATATCCTAGGCCTTGGTTTCTCCTGCTTTATCTTGCCTCTTTGTATGGACTGTGATGCTCTGTTGTCTTCAAGGCATTGTGACGTTTTTGTGTTTATATTTAATTGGTGATTATATGTTGGAGTGACTTGCCCACAATTTTCATTTTGTTTTGTTTGTGTGTTATCTATACAGGCAGGGTACTGTGCTGTGCTCCTCTAGTCATTGGTTGACAGCACTTATACACTCACCACCTGTCTCCTTTCCTGTTGTCAGTCTCTCGTATGTCTTTGCCGTCCCTAGCAAACAGAGCTTCTTCTTAGGTCCCTGGAATCAGAATAAGAATGCTATCGCTTTAAAATCCAAAATGGTTTCCACTTGTAAACATTCAAAATGGCTGCTCCCTTGGTCACTTTAAATATCCAAAATGACCACCACTTGTAAACATTCAAAATGGCTGTGCCCTCGGTCACTTTAAATATCTAAAATGGCTGCCATGTGTAAGCAATCAAAATGGCTGCACCCTCTGAACAGCAGAAAGTCCACAGCTCAGGTTATCTCCATCCTTGCTGTTTCCCTTCCTAGTCATAGGTCAGCAGAACAGTCATCCCTGCAGCCCTTGGTGACTGGGTCTGATCTTTAGGTCAGTTCTCAGGTCCCAGCCCCACTTGGAAATATTCTGGCTATTGGTCTCGTCAGAGTAGCTGACAGTCCACAGCTCCGACATCTCTGTACTCACAATTTTCATTTAGGTTTTTCCACTAGTTGGTACCTAATCCCCTTCTGTATAGTTCCTTTCAAAGCTCAGGGTTCCAGGATTATCTTCTGTATCTCTGTCAATTGGTTTTTCTTTTCTTTCTTGAAAAGGGTCTGTGTCACTTGTCTGCTTATTCCTCCTTCTTACCGGAAGTCTCCCCTTTGGCTCCATCTTTATGGAAGCAGATCTCCAGGCCTCTCTTCCATGGTGCCACTGGGTGTGTTCAAACCACCCACCTTTAGGTTAGTCATTGTTAGAGGCCACCGAGTCACCTCTGACTCATCGCAACCCCACATATAACAGAATGGAACACTGTCCGGTCCTGTGCCATCCTCACAATCATTGCTGTTCTTGAGCCCATTGTTGCAGCCACTGTGTCAGTCATCTCTTTGAAGGCCTTCTGTTTATCATTGACTCTTGGCTTTACCAAGTGGTACATCCTTCTCCAGGGACTGGTCCCTCCTGATAATGTGTCCAAAGTATGTGAGACGACCAATACTTGTCTGTCATTTTGTTGTACCATGGTGGCTTGCATGTAACTGTGAGCTGGAAGCTATGGTACTGGAATACACCAGCAGGGTCAGCCATGGTGGATAGGTTTCAGTGGAACTTGCTAGACAGACTGGAAACAAGGATGGGGCCACCTACTTCTCAAAGAATTGGCCACGGGAAACCTTGGGAATAGCAGTGAAACACTGTCTGATATATTACTGGAAAACTATGAATCACAGTGAAACATCGTCAGTGATGAGCTCAGGTACAGCAAGGATTGTGAGGCCGGCATAGGAACAGGCAGTGTTCTGTTCTGTTATACATGGGGTCACTATGAGTTGGAGCCGACTCCATGGCACCTAACAACAACAACACATGAGACAAAGTCTCGCCATCCTTGCTTCAAAGGAGCATCCTGGTTGTACTTCTTCCAAGACAGATTTCTTCAGGAAGTCCATGGATAATTCAATATTCTTCACCAACACCAGAATTCAAAGGCATCAATTCTTCTTTGGTCTTCCTCATTCATTGTCCAGCTTTCACATGCCTATGAAGTGATTGAAAATACAGTGGCTTGGGCTGGGCACACCTTAGTCTTCAAAGTGATATGTTTTCTTTTTAAGATTTTAAGGGTCTTTTGCAGCAGATTCGCAGATTAGGTTAGTAGTCAAATGTAAACCATTTGCACCACCACTAACCTTTGCTGTCTATAAGGTTCCATCAGCAGAAGTGGGGAGATCAGAACCCTCTCTGAGGATGATGATGCAATCTCCCAGGGGTCAAATAACTGAGTACCACAAACTGTGCAGCTTATAAGAATAGAAATGTATGGCCTCACAGTTGGGGAGCTAGAGGTCATAGATCAGGATGTCAGCCATGTTGATTCCCTCCTTGTCTACCACCCACCCTTTCCCTTCCTCCTTCCTTTGTATCCCCGCCCTCCTTCCTAGCTCTAACCCTGGGCAAATGCTGTCCTCTCGATCCCATGTGCTTGATTGATGTAATGTGTGCATACCCTCCAGATATAATTGTTTACCCTATAGGCCTGTCTATCATTTGGCTGGCAGTTCAGTCACAGGGGTTAAGTTCAGTTCCTAGCTTGAAGGGTGGCTAAGGGCCATAGTCTTGGGGGTTCCATCAATCTTCTTTAGACCAGTAAGCCTAGTCTTTTTTATGATTTTGAGTTTTTCTCCACATTTTCCCACACTCTGTCCAGGACCTCTTACTGTGATCCCTTTGAGAGTTGTCAGCAATGGTAGCTGGGCACCCTCTAGTTCTTGTGGTCTCGGGGTCATGGAGGATTGGGTTCATGTGCTCCTAGTCCTTTGGACTAACTGGCTAAACCCTACAATTCTGATTAAGGGTAAAAGAGAGAAATTACTGTGAACATTGGAAATGGGCAATGGAGATAAAAGTATGGATATAGTAGACTGACAAGGGACAAGGTTGCAGTCACTTCTTGGTCACAGCCACCTACCCAGGGGGACTGAGTAGTTGAACCTGTGGGCTTGGGACCATAGTCACAGGGGACATCAAGCTCCATTGGCATAACATACTACACAAAACATTGTTCTGCCTCCTACTTTGGTAAATAATGACTGGGATCTTAAAAGCTTTCAAGCAGCCATCTAGATGCAACGATGGATCTCTCCTCGTTCAGAGCAAAGAAAAATGAAGAAAACCAAAAACGCATGGAAACAATTAGTTCAAGGGACTGGTACACCATGTGATTCTCACTCAGCCTATATGACTATAAGCCCAGAAGAACTAGATGGTACCCAGCTACCACTGTCAACCACTCGGAGGGGGATCTATGTAGAGATCCTGGATAGAGAGGGAGAACAATGTAGAACAAAACTCAAAATCATTTGGGAAAAAAAATGGGGGGACCAGGTTTGCTGGTCTGATAGAGCCTGGAAGAATCACTGAGACTACGGCCCCTAGCTACCCTTCAGGTCTGGAATTGAACCTACACCTGTGGCTTCCAGCCAAGCAAAAGACAAACATAGGAGTTAAACATGTACCTGAGGTAGATACACTCCTTGGAGAGAACACTCATGGAAGAAAGAATGGCTGTTTATGCACAGGGAGACAGCTCAGGGGGCAGGACTGCATGGAGGGATGGACACGGGGAAGAGCTAACTATGGGGAGGAAGTGGGAAGGGAGGTGTTGTATTGTGGTGAATTGTGGTCAATGTCATGAGACAAAGTATATGTGAACTGCTGTATAGAAAGTGAATTTGCTCTGTAAATTTTCACCACATCACAATTTAAAAAATTAAAATATATATATATGGATATAGAAACTATTAAAAGAATCATGAAAAACCATTATATGATATCGTGATATCAGATGTTCTTTGAAATAAATGGCATACAAATTAGCAAAACTGACTCAAGAGAAGGTAGAAACTCAAGGGAGGGCAGACCACCATGCCTGTCTGCTCTTTTCAGTGTCCCCAGGGGCCCTCAATCAGTATTTTGAAATGAATGAGTGAGTGAGTGAGTGAGTGAATGGACAATGCTTGTTCTTGTGACTCTGGTCTCTGGTGACATGTGTTCCCATTGCTTTTGCAGCATGAAACGACCCACAATATCCACCGTCACTGTGGACATAGCCAACAGAGAAATCTCCTGCATAGACCTCAGACCACTGGTATGTCCCAAACCTTTGCTGGCCTATAGTCTGTGTCATTAGTTAAGAGTCATGGTGGCAGGCCTAGCTTGGCTTTCCCTTGAAGGGCTAGCCAAGCCATCTTTCAGGATCTGGAAATGAAGATGTCCCTGTGATAGTTGTCAGTTACTGTCTCTGCCATCAGTGTCCCCAGGGCTTCTCCTTCCTCAGACACTGTCTTCCAAGAAGGTATATCAGTGCTTGTTCCTTATTGGTCATCTGCAGATCTTCCCCATGTTGACTCAAGTAACAGCTCTCCTAGAAATACCTAAGAGAACTGAGAATATATGTCCACCTAAAACTTGCTCAAAGTGTTCACAACAGTATTATTCACAATAGTCAAAAAGTGGATATAATCAAAATGCCCATCCATAGATGAAAGGATAAATAAAATGTGATGCATCCACATAATGGAATATTATGCAGTCATAAAAAGGAATGGAAATCTGGCATGTGTTACAACATGGATGAATCTTGAAAACATTGCACACAGTGAAAGAAGCGAAACACAAAAGGACAAATTTTATACCATTCTATATGAAATGTCCAGAATAGGCAAATGCATAGAGACAGAAAGTGAATTAGTAGTTATCTTTGGGTTGGGGATGCAGGAACATCAAAAGAAGATGGATGGAATACACAGAGTCATTATACCAAAAAGAATTGGTAGATAATCATCCATTTCAGGAGGTGGCATATGATCAAGGACCAATGGTACTGAAAGAAGAAGTCAAAGCTGCACTGAAGGAATTGCCAAAGAGCAAGGCTCCAGGAATTGACAGGATACCCATTGAGATGTTTCAACACACGGATGCTGCACTGGAGGCACTCATTCAGCTATGCCAAGATATTTGGAAGACAGCTACCTGGCCAGCTGACTGGAAGAGATCCATATTTGTATCCATTCCAAAGAGAGGTGATCCCACAGAATGTGGAAATTATTGAACAATATCATTGATACCACATGCAAGTGAAATCTTACTGAAGATAATTCAAAAGCAGTTGCAGCAGTATATTGACAGAGAACTTCCAGAAGTGTAAGCTGGATTCAGAAGAGGATGTGGAATGAGGGATATCATAGCTGATGTCAGATGTATCTTGGCTGAAAGCAAAGAATACCAGAAAGATGTTTATTTGTGTTTTATTAACCATTCAAAGGCATTCGATTGTGTGGGTCATAACAAATTAATGGGTAACATTGAGAAGGATGGGAATTCCAGAACACTTAATTGTACTCATCAGGAACCTGTACATAGACCAGGAGGCTGTTGTTGGAACAGAGCAAGGGGATACTGCATGGTTTAAAATCAGGAAGGGAGTACATCCAGGTTGTATCCTTTCACCATACTTACTCAATTTGCATGCTGAGCAAATAATCTGAGAAGATGGACTATATGAAGAAGAAGGTGGCATCAAAATGCCCATCCATAGATGAATGGATAAAGAAAATGTGGTGCATCCACATAATGGAATATTATGCAGCATAAAAAGGAATGGAAATCTGGTAAATGTTACAACATGGATGAACCTTGGATTGGAGGAAGGCTCATTAGCAACCTGCGATACACAGATGACACAACTTTGCTTGCTGAAAGTGAGGATGACTTGAAGCACTTACTGATGAACATTGAAGGCTACAGTCTGCAGTATGGATTATACCTCAATATAAAGAAACAAAAATCCTCACAACTGGACCAATAAGCAGCATCATGTTAAATGGAGAAAAGATTGAAGTTCTCAAGGACTTCATATTAGTTGGTTCTATAATCAACGCCAATGGAAGCAGCAGTCAAGACATCAAAAAATGTATTGCATTGGACAAATCTGTTGCAAAAGACCTCTTTCAAGGGCTGAAGAGCAAAGATATCTCCTTGAAGACTAAGATGCACCAAATCCAAGGAGGAAAAGCCAGGGATGACAAAGTGGCAGGATCCAGGTAAAGGAAGGGAGACAGGCTCCACTCAAGAGGCAGGAAAGGGGGAAAGCTGGGAATGACTAAGTGGCAGGATCCAGGTAAGCGGAGGGAGACAGGCCCCACCCAGGAGGCAGGAAGGCGGGAAAGCCGGGGACAACACAGCAGCAGGATCCAGGTAAGGGGAGGGCAGACAGGTTTCAAACAGCTAAGGGAGACAAACTTGTCAGTCAGTTTGTCATACTGTGGTGGCTTGTGTGTTGCTGTGAGGCTTGAGGCTGTGCCGCCAGTGTTTCAAATGCCAGCAGGGCTGCACATGGTTCACAGGTTTCATCACACCTTACAGACTGAGACAGACTAGGAAGGAGGAAGAGACCATCCACTTCTCAAAAGAATTGGCCAGTGAAAACCTTATGAATAGCAGAGAAACACTGTCTGATACACTACTGAGCAACTTTATGAATAGCCCAAAGCATTGTCCAATACAGTGCAGGAAGATGAGGCCCTTAGGTTGGAAGGCTCTCAAAATATGACTGGGAAAGAGGTGCTTCATCAGAGTAGAACCAACCTTAATGATATGGATAAAGTAAAGCTTTCAGGACCTCCATTTGCTGACAAGGCATGACTCAAATTGAGGAAAACAGCTGTAAACATCCACTAATAAATTGGAACATGGAATGTATGATGTATGAATCTAGGAAAATTGGGAGTTGTCAAAAATGAAATGGAACACATAAAGATTGACATACTAGGCATTAGTGAGCTGAAATGGATTGGTTTTGGCCATTTAGAATCAGACAACCATGTGATCTACTATGCCAGAAATGACAATTTGAAGAAGAGTGTGGCATTCATCATCACAAAGGATGTTTCAAGATCTGTCCTGAAGTACAACACTGTCAGTGATAGGATAATATCCATACACCTACAAGGAAGACCAGTTAATACTACTATTATTGAAATTTACACACTAACAACCAAAGCCAAAGATGAGGAAATTGAAGATTTTTATCAACTTCTGCAGTCTGAAATTGACCAAACATGCAATCAAGATATGTTAATTATCACTGGTGACTGGAATCCAAAAATTGGAAACAAAGAAGAATCACTGGTAGTTGGAAAATTTGGCTTTGGTGATAGAAGTAACACTGGAGATTGCATGATAGTATTTTGCAAGACCAATGAGTTATTCATTGCAAACACCTTTCTTCAACAATACAAACAGCAGCTATACACATGGACTTCACCAGATAGAGTACACAGGAATCAGACTGACTACATCTGTGGCAAGAGGCAATGGAAAAGCTCAATATCTTAAGCCAAAACCAGGCCAGAAGCTGATTGTGGAACAGACCATCAACTGCTCATATGTAAGTTCAAGTTGAAGTTGAAGACAATTAAATCCATGAGAGCCAAAATATGACCTTGAATATGTCCCTCCTGAATTTAGAGACCATCTAAAGAATAGATTTGATGCATTGAACACTAATGACCGAAAACCGGAAGAGTTGTGTGATGACATCAAGAACATCATCCATGAAGAAAGCAAGAGGTCATTAAAAAGACAAGAAAGGAAGAAAAGACAAAAATTGATGACAGAAGAGACCCTGAAACTTGCCCTTGAGTGAAGAGTAGCTAAACCAAATGGAATGACAAGATAAAAGAGCTGAACAGATTTCAAAGAGCAGCTTGAGCAGACAAAGCCAATTACTATAATGAAGTGTGCAAAGACCTGGAGTTAGAAAACCAGAAGGGAAGAACATGCTCAGCATTTCTCAAGCTGAAAGAACTGAGGAAAAAATTTAAGCTTAGGGTTGCAATACTGAAAGATTCTATGGGGAGAATATTGAATGATGCAGGAAGCAACAAAAGAAGATGGAAGGAATACACAGAGTCACTGCACCAAAAACAACTGGTCGATGTTCATCCATTTCAGGAGGTGGTATGTGATCAAAAACCAATGGTACTGAAGGAAAAAGTCGAAGCTGCACTGAAGGAACTGCCAAAGAACAAGACTCCAGGAATGGATGGAATACCCACTGAGATGTTTCAACAAATGGATGCCGCACTGGAGGAACTCACTCACTATGCCAGGAGATTTGGAAGACAGCTACCTGGCCAACTGACTGGAAGAAATCCATTGTTGTACCCATTCCAAAGAAAGGTGATCCCTTTCCACAGAATGTGGAAATTATCTAACATATCATTAATATCGCATGCAAGTAAAATCTTACTGAAGATAATTCAAAAACAGTTCCAGCAGTGTATTGACAGAGAACTTCCACAAGTGCAAGCTGGATTCACAAGAGGACGTGGAATAAGGGATATCATAGCTGCTGTCAGATGGATCTTGGCTGAAAGCAAAGAATACCAGAAAGAGGTTTGTTGTTGTTGTTATTTTTATTTGCCATCGAGTCGGCCCTGACTCATAGCGACCCCTCCTTGGGTTTCCGAGGCAGTATCACTACGGAAGTAGGAATGCCCAACCTTCCTTCCGAGGAGTGGCGGGTGGGTTTGAACCGCCAGCCTTCTGGTTAGCAGTCAAGTGCCTTAGCCACTATGCTACCAGAGAAAGAGGTTTACTTGTGTTTTATTGACTATGCAGAAGCATTCGATTGTGTGGATCATAACAAATAATGGGTAACACTGAGAAAAATGGGAATTCCAGAACACTTAATTGTATTCATGAGGAACCTGTACCTTGATGAAGAAACAAGGGGACACTGTATGGTTTAAAATCAAGAAGGGAGTGCATCAGGGTTGTATCCTTTCACCATACTCATTCAATCTCTATGCTGAGCAAATAATCTGAGGAGCTGGACTATATGAAGACAAACATGGCATCAGGATTGGAGAAAGGCTTAGTAACAACCTGTGATACGCTGACGACACAACTTTGCTTGCTGAAAGTGAGGATGACTTGAGGCACTTACTGATGAAAATTGGAGAATACAGTCTGCAGTATGGATTACACCTCAATATAAAGAAAACAAAAATCCTCACAACTGGACCTATGAGCAGCATCACAATAAATGGAGAAAAGATTGAAGTTGTCAAAGGCTTCACATTGCTTGTGAAGCAATGCTTCCAATGGAAGCAGCAGTCAGGACATCAGATGACGTATAGCACTAGGCAAATTGGCTGCAAAGGACCTCTTTCAAGTGCTGAAGATCAAAGATGTCTCCTTGAGGACTAAGGTGTGCCTGACACAAGCTATGGTATTTTCAATTGCCTCGTATGCATGTGAGAGCTGGACAATAAATCAGGAAGACCAAAGAAGAGTTGATGCTTTTGAGTTGCATTGTTGGCAAAGAATACTGAACGTGACATGGACTGCTAAGAAAACTAACAAATCTGTCCTGGAAGAAATGCAGCCAGAATGCTTGTTGGAAGCAAGAATGGCCAGACTTCATCTCACCTACTTGGTAATGTTGTCAGAAAGGACCATTCTCTGGAGAAGGATATCATGCTTGGTAAAGTGGAGGGTCAATGAAAGAGGGGAAGGCCCTCAACAAGATGGATTGACACAGTGCCTAAAGCACTTGATTGCTAACCAGAAGGCTGCCAGTTCAAACCCACCAGCCGCTCCTCGGAAGGAAGATGGGGTAATCTACTTCCGTAGTGATACTGCCTCAGAATCCCAAGGAGGAGTTGGTATGAGTTGGGTCCGACTCGACAGCACATAACAACAACAACAGATAACAAAAATCTCCTTGTTCTGTGGTTTTGAGCCCCTGTCACACCTCAGAGGGTGCCACACACTCCACTTTGAGAGGCATGTCTCTAAGGCTGTCTAACTAACACATCACTCTCTTTCTTCCTTTCCGTTAGTACATTTCAGCCCATTCATTCATTTATGTATTCATTCACTCACTTTTCCCATGTCCTCTGCATGCCAAGCATTGTATAAGTTGGGTCTGTTCCCTGTGGAACTGCCATGTGGAGAATTTGGCTGTGCTCTATAGCTTGGGAAGACTCTGAGCTAAGCTCCATGAGGCCAATCACTTTTCAGGGTCACGGTTATGGGGTGTCCCTGAAAAGGCAGCTCTGTGGCCCAAGGGCCTGTCGATCTGCTCCCAAAAAGATTATTATTGTTGTTAGGTGCC